AGTCTTTATGTAGTCAAGACTGAAGGACAGTCTTTGTAACATGTAAATAATGTCAAGCGTGTATATATATTAATGTAAATAGACAGCCAGAATAGATAGGATAGGATGTACCGGGAGTGTAATTCATATTTATAATCCACCTCCCACATCCGATCCCGAGCAATCCTGACCGAGCGAGGGCCGAACTGACACAGGAGCAGTGGCAGCCGAAGACGGCGATAAGAATAGACAGGGATAAGCTCCTGCCACACAGGCAGAGTATGGTAGCCTCGACAGCAACGCCCTTTTAAGATATAATGATAAAGTGTATTAATAAAGTATTTAGACGCTACCTGTAAACTATATGAGGAGTGTCAAGAAGGAGCTAAGACTATATGCCAGGGAGTAGTCCCCACAATTGAAAGAACAGAAAATAGATGGTGGCAGCTTGTATGACGAGAAGGAAACCCCGAACAGGAGAATCCTAGCTAAGGGTGAGCTAGGATGATTGTGATAACTCCTTACCGGGCAAGTGACGGTGGAGGCAAGGAAGGATACCTCCACGGCCCCTACATGCGGAGTTACGGTGGTGACAGAGGCGGGCTGACTCCACGCCCCCCTGCACCACGGCATTACAGTGGCGGCAGCGGGTGGGATACCTCCATTGCCCCCCTACGCCGCCAGGACGTTACACACATAGAATAAGAATTAAGATTAAATTTGTAAATATATGTAAATACTGACAATGGACTTAGTGATACAGACTATGACTGACAAATGACAGACTCGACCTCTCGTCAGAGAGGGCGTCCCAGATGGACAGGACAGTAACTTTCATACAGAGATACTGGGTTTTCGGACTTTGTCCATCGTCCGGATTAGAAATAACTAAAAACACAACGTTTCGGAAATTGGATCTGTTTCCGTCTTCACTTGAGGGAAGACACCTACTCTGTTGGGTCCTTTAGAAAGAGCTACCCTCAATCACTTTCATATAAGACTAAAGAATATAACACACGCAGTCACAAGAACACAAACAACACAACACAAAGCACAATACACACACGAAAGTAGGAAGAATACTCCGATAGAAGAAGGTAGGTGTGACTCGCGTATTGAGGTACGACATAAGAATGACAAATCCTGAACAGTTTTAATATTTAAAATTTATCATTATATATGACAAATATATATTTTAGTCATTTTAGTAAAAGGACAACAGGGCATGCAATGCAGTGGTTCGACGTACATAGAAAAGCACCTGAAGATGGCACTTTGGTGCTGAAACATGTAGTGCGAGAGAGAAGAGTGAGGTGAATAAATGTGTGCACTGTAAGACGGTCAGAATAAATCATGGAGATAAGAATAAACATCTGGGGCTCGACACCAAGACAGACAGACTGGCCGACCGTCAGTCGCAATGTAACTTTTATTTTGACTCTGACTCTCAAATTCATAGCGTTTAATTCAAACGGCATTCGGAGGCAGCGCTATAGGCTCATAAATAGCCAAAATCTACACATAGATTCGATTTCAGACACAAATCTGAAAGCTCATTGGAGTTTCTCTTTTCGAAATTACCACTTTCATCGAAGCGACAGAGGCCTGAACTTGGCGATGGTCAAGCGTATACCGTTCAAGTGACTGGGCTGCTTTGCAACGCGAGGTACTTTTAAGATGGGGCAAGACGTGCTGATCTCAGCCTAGGCTGACAGAAGCCTTGTATGTATGGTATATGTATATGTATGTTATTTTACCATGTCATGTACATGAAGAATTGTAAACATTAAGAACATATTGAAAATAGACGGAAATGACTACGCCAAATGACAGACCTCTTTTTCTTCAGAAAGGGCGCTCATTATTGACAAAATCCTAACTCTCTAACAGTAACTACGATCTGCTCATGAAAGCCAGAGGTGAACTGACACCAAAACGGACTGACCGAATGACCACCGGTCGCATAGTGACTTTGCCTTTTATTTAATCTGGTAACGACCAGCAAGAATTATAATTAACTGAGAAGATTTAGTGCGTACCATATTTATTTGTAGAGTATATCAATTAATGAGGCTAGTATAATTATTTCTAGTTAACGAGTAATAATAGTTCAGTAAATCTAATAACCAATGTAAACCCCCTGTCTAGTCAATAACATGTGACATTTCGATACTTACCAAACCACTGCCGAAAAAATAATTCCCACAAAATGTTTAAGCACATTCCACCTAAAAGAACATATAGCCATGTTTCCTCAGCAGTTCTGAAAAATGAATGAAAGAAAAATATATTAATTATCTTTGATTACCAGGCAATAAATTATTATTCACATGTCTTTTCACCCTCAAACTTTAAAAGCCAGAGTTTTGATTTCATGGTAGCTTGAGCGGCTCGGAGTCTACTTAAATGCCCGCTTCTGCTGTTCGTTTAAATTCCCGTTGCTGTTGTGCGTGAAACGTCCGTTCCTGTTTGTGCAGCGTCTACACGAGCGCACAAAATGCGTCCGTTGTAACGAACGTACTTTCCTGAGGACACCACACAGGTGCAGAATGCGGTGCGCAGTTTTTTGTCTGCAATGGAGCCAGAAGAAAGCGTAGCATTCGCCTCTCTTGTTTATTTCTACAACGGACGACAAGACATTCGTTACGACGGACGCATTTTGTGCGCTCGAGTAGACGCTGCCTTAGGGCGCTAAAATAAACTTAAACGTCGTAATTGAAAATGATGTATCTACACGTAATTTGTGCCGTAAGCTCTGCGACCACTTTGTTATGGCGCAAGCGGGCGTGAGGCATGCAATTTCGTATTCTAATCCCAACACTAACCAATTTTGTTTTGGCGAAAGGGCCATCCGCCGTGGGAACCCAAAAAATCCTTTTTCTGTCCCGCGTGGCCACCACTTTGTTGGGTCGCACAATTGCAACATACTAAGTCTTATTATGACTCGTCGCTGCCAGCCAGTTTTGTTGTGGCACCCGACTGCCACCATAAAAATTTAGAATATCCCACCTAATTGCCACAAGTTAAACATCTGTGAATAGCTCCGGCTCCACCAAGTGACTTCACTATTAAGAATACCCCGATATACACTCAACATGAGAAAACAAAAAAAAATATGATCAAATCTACAAGTACATACTACATACAACCCTTAAACATATACAATCTCCCATTTCACACTCCTCCTTAACTTCTTAAAATTGACTACTCATAATCTAGTAAACCTACGTAACACAAGCAACACAAGTAACACAAGCAACAAGCTTCCCACGTTCAGCAGGTACCACATCAAACTCAAATACCCATACTACCTCAACGAATCAATTATTATTGAGGGTCCGAAGAATATGAGTGAGATTGCTGGCGTCGCAACTGGGATTTGAACCCATAACTTCCGAGAATACGAGTCCCGATCTCAAGTCTCTTCGGTTACGAAGCTACAGTGCTTCTGACTTGTACTGGGACGTACCAGGTTCGAATCTTGGCCGGGACAGTGACTATCCTGACCGAGAAATTCGTAGCTTTTCTCCCACTGTCCAACAAATGACGGAACTGACAAAATCAGTCAACAGCAACTTCCTTTCCCGTGTTGACAAATTCACGATTCACTAATCCTGGTACCATGTGGCTCTGTATAGTCTGAGTTGCTTACAGATGCGATAAGGAACCTCAAAGTATATCAAGTGTGCCTGTACAGGGGCCGCCTCACACCAGTTCGAGGAACAAGTACGGACCGGACAGAAGGATGGATGGCCCTCATGCCCGGTCTTCGCGGTGTGGATAATAGTAAAATCCCTGGCCTTGCCAGGAACTGACAGGTAATTTTTCTTTAATTCGGCCCATTGCCTGTCAAAATACTTACAACCCATAGTAAAAAGGCGCGCATGTCCAGCTTAGTAACGTATCCTGGAGAATCTCTTCATTCTGCAACACATATCAGTGCAAGCGTTATACGTATAAGACTTAATTGTAACTGAATATATGCCGGTTTGTTACTTTCGAAAACTTGTTCAAGAAATTTGAATTTACCTCTTTCTCTCTCTTAAAAACATTTCAATATCCCATTCAGAAAGAAAATTATAATTGCATATTACGGAGCAATTTACAGACTAACTACAGGATACGCAATTATTTTTGCTGTTCTGAAACTTACTTTTTCACAACACATGGCACGTTGAAATGCTGAAAGAAAAAAAATGAAAACGACACGTGAATAACACAGAGATGCACATTCACACTCCAAATATCTCACTTGTTAAACTAACGTCAATTTCTTCTCTTTAGAAGAGCAGGGCAACCCCGTAAAACCCACAGCGTTATTTCACTGTCTGTTTAGATCAGTGCAATCAAAATTAACTACACGTACTGGCCTGAATACACGAAAAAATCGGATATTAATTCACAATAGCTAGCGGGAACTCTGAAATATAGAGCAGGTGTGGGGTAGGTGGTGGAATGAGAACTGGTAGGAGAAACTGGAGCACACAGAGAAAACCCTGCCCAGTGCCACTTTGTCCGTCACAAATATTAAGAGGCATTTTCTGGGATGGAACCCAGTGAAAGAAGATGGGTGAGCGACTAATCACTTGTGCTATGCCACGGACTACTCTAACCCATATTTAGTACGAAATTATGTATGCTAGCAACTGTGGAACCATTGTATTGACGCCTAGAATTACAGAATTAACAGTGTGCTTTTATCTACTGATAGTCTCACTGGTGAAAGGGGATATCGTGTCTGTGACTTATGAAGCACACACGGCAATACGGTCAGAGTCAAAGAGCATTTTAATACTGCAAGTAAAATTTTACACTCATTTTACACCTGATCTTCGATCGGGGAATACATTTTTTTTTCAGCTGGAACTGGAATTCAATGAACTAGCAAGAGAAGAGATCGTAAGTTGTTAAGCCGGCGTTGAAGTCCGTTCACAGCGTGATGTGTGCAAGAACGACGTGAGTTTACAACGTATATAAAACGTTGCTGAAGAGAATGAGAATTAAAGCTGAGATATACATGTATACACATCAGGTCTTGTGATGGTAAACATTCATTTCAAATATAGCGCTTTAAAGAAGGAAAATATTTATAATAATCTCACTTGTTAGTAAACAGACACCGGGTTTAGTCTAGTAATCTATTAGCCGTAAATAACCATAACACTCTCAATGATTTGCAAATTCTACAAATAACTAGGGTACGCACTAATCTTTCAAAGTCTGTTATCCTCCTCACTGGTCGCAGCTAGGTTACGGCTGCTAAGAGGTGAGATCCCTCATGGCGAGCTATGAACTATAACTGCTCACTTACAAATCATGAAAAGAAGAAGTCGAATCCAGTGTTACTATACGACTGGAGGTTTAGCGTCAATCAGTTCTTCTTGGCGTCAAGCCCCTTGAGATTTACGACAAGAGAATTTTTTTGAACTGAACCCTTGCGATCATAGTGCTTATGTACATCCTCTCTGACGAGAAGATGGGTTTGTCTCTTATGAATATTCTTGGTTTTCTGTCAAACGTAAGTATTGCATATATAGCATGTTACTGAAAGTTCTTCCTTTTGCACAAGCCCCCTGTCAGTCCAGGCTTTGCAAACCAGATCATTCCTGTTTTGGCGGCGTCTCTTATGCTACAACGGTTACACAATCACTTGGACGGTCGTAAGCTTGACCACCATGAAGATTAAGCCGCTTATATTTTTTATGTATGACTTCGCCTTGTCCTGCACTGCACACATGTTCGTTCCCTTAATTTTGTACTTCTGCTTGTTGACTGCAAAATTTTGTTATATAAATGTTTAGATACGGAAAGTCAGAGTCAGAGTTATTTTACGGCTGGCGGTTTCCTGCCAGTCCATCTTGGAGTCAAGCCCCGTGAGACGCACAACCAGAGATCTTCTCAACAGAACGCTTGCAGTAACATCCTCTTTGACAAGAAGACAGCTTTGTCTCCCACGAATATGCTTGGCCTTTCGTCAAGTGTACATTTCACACGTATTGTATTGCAGCATATAGACCCCTTGCTAAGAGGTGACTATAAACAACAACCGCTGCTACTGAGCACCCGCAGCTTACGCGTGCGCGGTGACGTCACACAAAAATAGATGAGGTGATGCAGGCGGTGTTTGTTGTAGGTCCGCTCCGAGGCTATATGACTCGACCGACTGTGTTCTGTGGAGCGAGTGAGTGAGTGCAGTGCAGTTGAGGGTTCATCTGTGGAGTACTAAGCAGCGGGCAACGGAAGCGGAATAATCTCCATTGATAAGATTCGTTACCAGGAAACGTCTAGTGAAGAGACTGCACCGGAACAGCCATTGTGGATAGCCGTTACCAGGTAAAGAGCAGTGGAAATACACTGAGTGTTTCGCAGTGTGGAAATCAGCAATAGTGGTAATGAATATTTGTAGTTAGTACCTCTGAGCGGTAAATAAAGCTATTCACCAATCCAAGCCCCGTCTTTTTTTTCCCTTGGCACTACAGCCCCAGTGGGCCTAGGCCTACCTCCATGAACTTCTCCGTTCACTTCGGTTTTTTCTTGATCTTACATATTCGGTAGGACTCCTTGGGCGGGTGATCAGCTCGTCGCAAGGCCTCTACCTGTACACAAAAAGAAAAACGCACACACACAAACTAAACATCCATGCCCTGAGTGGGATTCGAACCCACGATCCCGGTTTCCAAGCGAGCGAAGGCAGTACATGCCCCAAGCCCCATCTACAGTAACAAATACACTTGACATTATGCTATTCAATATTCTTACTTTTGCACTGCACACAAGCCCTCTGTCAGTACAAGCTTTAGAGAGCAGATCATACCTATCATACGTATCCTATGCCATAACGGCAGCTAATTTACTTGAACGGTCTTAACATTGACCACCGCCAAGTTTAAGCACCTGGTATATTTTGTCTGCCTTTATATCGTCCTACACAGCGAAGATATTCATTCTCATGATATTGTGCGACTCCTGCTCGTTACCTGCGCAGTTGATTTGTATAAGCGTATACACATGGAAGTTTAAAAGCCGTGTGCACGTTGAAAATTTTCAAATAGTGCGCAGAACCTTGTTTTGTAGACGTTTCAATTTTAAGAGGTAAGTGCCTACCACCTGCTATTGCAAAATTGAAACGGCATAAATCCCCAGGTAGTGATAAAATTCCGGCAGAACTTATTCATGCATGAGGCGAAATATTACGTTCTAAGATCCACAATATAATTACTTCTCTTTGGCATAAGGAAAAATTGCCTGATCAGTGGAAGGAGTCTATTATTGTACCAGATCACAAGAATGGTGATAAAACTGACTGTAGTAATTATCGGGGGATATCACTGCTATCAACTTCATACAAAATTCTATCCCATATTCTTCTCTCAAGGTTAGGTCCACATATAGGTGAAATTATTGGGGATCATCAGTGTGGGTTTCGACGTAACAGATCAACTACAGATCAGATCTTTATCATTCGTCAGATATTGGAGAAAAAATTGGAGTACGATGAGACAGTACATCAGCTATTCGTAGACTTCAAGAAAGTCTATGATTCAGTTAGGAGGGAAGTATTGTACAATGATAGAGTTTGGGATACCCGTGAAACTAGTTTGGTCGATTAAAATGTGTTTAAACGAAACGTATAGTAAAGTCCGTGTAGGTAAATATTTGTCTGATAAATTTTCTATCCAGAATGGTCTAAATCAATGAGATGCTTTATCGCCACTCAACTTTGCCTCAGAATATGCAATTAGGAAGGTCCAGGGAAACCAGGTGGGACTGAAATTAAACGATACACATAAGCTGTTGGCCTATGCCGATGATGTGAATCTACTGGGTGATAATTAGGGACCGAATTTTAATGCAAATGCATATTTCTTTCTTGCAACCAGAAAGTATGTTCGTTTGGATATGTATGAATTACTTCATTTCTTAAACTTTGGACATGATTTAATGGATTGGATTAATCTAGCTCAGGATAGGGACCAGTGGAGGGCTCTTGTGAACACGGTAATAAACATTCGGGTTTCATAAAATGCTGGGAAATTCTTGAGTAGCTGCAGAATTGGCAGTCCTCCAGAAGGGCTCAGCTCCATGAATAAGTAAGTAAGTAAGTTAGTAAGTAAGGTGCCTACCACCAATTCCCAGGCGAGACAAGCGTAAGACAGTACTGATCTGATCAGCACCTTATGGAGTGTTAGTTTAATGTTGGTGCTTAAACGCTCACTTTTGAATAGGGAATAGTTTCTAATAAATGTTCTGAAGGCCTTGGAGTCATTCATTTCTGTGTGCAGTCCCCGTGCAATCCTCTAACACCGAGATATTTTGATTGACTCTTAAAGGGGATATTCCATCCATTCCCTGTAAGATGAGCCTCAGATTGTCTATGTCCGTGAGAAAAGTTGACGGCCTGAGTCTTATCTTCATCACAGTAGCACCGAGACCTCGTTACAGTTTTCTGAGAATAGCACACTTTTTGCGGTCTGTCGCATATTGTTCAAATCATGTGACGACACCTGTCTGTATGCGACAGACCGCAAGAAGGGTTTTATTGTTAGAAAACTCCAGCGCGGTCTCAGCTCAATGGAGCCCTGATGTGGGCGCTGGAATATTAAAATTAACGAAGATAAGACACGGGGATGGGGTCTACTTCTCTCGTAGTCGTCAACCGCCTGCGTCTTGTCTTACTTTAAATGGAAGAAATATACCATTTGTAAATAGTGCGAAATATCTAGGTGTAATCTTCAATAAGAGAGTTACATGGTGATTGCACATAGAAATGATCAAAGCCAAGACCTTCAGAACATTCATTAGAGATCATTCCCTATTCAAAAGTGAGCGATTAAGCGCTAACATTAAACTGACCCTCCACAAAGCTCTGTCAGATCCGTAATGACTTATGCTAGTCCCGCCTGGGAGTATGCGGCAGACACCCATCTAATGAAATTGCAGCGCCTGCAAAACAATGTTCTCCACACCATTAACAACTTTCCAAGACGCACACCGGTCCGCGATTTCTACATGGCGTTCAAAATCCCTTACGTATACGATTATATACGTATAACAAAATTATGCAGGCCACAAGCAGAAGTCATACAAAATCATGACAATGAGAATGTTCGCAATATTGGACAATGCGAAGCCCGACATAAAAAGTATAAGAGGCTTAAACTTGCCGGCGGTCAGGCATACTACCGTTCAAGTGACGAGATTGCCGTCGTAGCGAATACTACTAGAAATAGGGCATAATCTGCTGTACTGAGCCTGGACTGACACAGGCCCTGTATATATATTGCACATAGAATAAGAATTAAGATTAAATTTGTAAATATATGTAAATACTGACAATGGACTTAGTGATACAGACTATGACTGACAAATGACAGACTCGACCTCTCGTCAGAGAGGGCGTCCCAGATGGACAGGACAGTAACTTTCATACAGAGATACTGGGTTTTCGGACTTTGTCCATCGTCCGGATTAGAAATAACTAAAAACACAACGTTTCGGAAATTGGATCTGTTTCCGTCTTCACTTGAGGGAAGACACCTACTCTGTTGGGTCCTTTAGAAAGAGCTACCCTCAATCACTTTCATATAAGACTAAAGAATATAACACACGCAGTCACAAGAACACAAACAACACAACACAAAGCACAATACACACACGAAAGTAGGAAGAATACTCCGATAGAAGAAGGTAGGTGTGACTCGCGTATTGAGGTACGACATAAGAATGACAAATCCTGAACAGTTTTAATATTTAAAATTTATCATTATATATGACAAATATATATTTTAGTCATTTTAGTAAAAGGACAACAGGGCATGCAATGCAGTGGTTCGACGTACATAGAAAAGCACCTGAAGATGGCACTTTGGTGCTGAAACATGTAGTGCGAGAGAGAAGAGTGAGGTGAATAAATGTGTGCACTGTAAGACGGTCAGAATAAATCATGGAGATAAGAATAAACATCTGGGGCTCGACACCAAGACAGACAGACTGGCCGACCGTCAGTCGCAATGTAACTTTTATTTTGACTCTGACTCTCAAATTCATAGCGTTTAATTCAAACGGCATTCGGAGGCAGCGCTATAGGCTCATAAATAGCCAAAATCTACACATAGATTCGATTTCAGACACAAATCTGAAAGCTCATTGGAGTTTCTCTTTTCGAAATTACCACTTTCATCGAAGCGACAGAGGCCTGAACTTGGCGATGGTCAAGCGTATACCGTTCAAGTGACTGGGCTGCTTTGCAACGCGAGGTACTTTTAAGATGGGGCAAGACGTGCTGATCTCAGCCTAGGCTGACAGAAGCCTTGTATGTATGGTATATGTATATGTATGTTATTTTACCATGTCATGTACATGAAGAATTGTAAACATTAAGAACATATTGAAAATAGACGGAAATGACTACGCCAAATGACAGACCTCTTTTTCTTCAGAAAGGGCGCTCATTATTGACAAAATCCTANTACTTACCAAACCACTGCCGAAAAAATAATTCCCACAAAATGTTTAAGCACATTCCACCTAAAAGAACATATAGCCATGTTTCCTCAGCAGTTCTGAAAAATGAATGAAAGAAAAATATATTAATTATCTTTGATTACCAGGCAATAAATTATTATTCACATGTCTTTTCACCCTCAAACTTTAAAAGCCAGAGTTTTGATTTCATGGTAGCTTGAGCGGCTCGGAGTCTACTTAAATGCCCGCTTCTGCTGTTCGTTTAAATTCCCGTTGCTGTTGTGCGTGAAACGTCCGTTCCTGTTTGTGCAGCGTCTACACGAGCGCACAAAATGCGTCCGTTGTAACGAACGTACTTTCCTGAGGACACCACACAGGTGCAGAATGCGGTGCGCAGTTTTTTGTCTGCAATGGAGCCAGAAGAAAGCGTAGCATTCGCCTCTCTTGTTTATTTCTACAACGGACGACAAGACATTCGTTACGACGGACGCATTTTGTGCGCTCGAGTAGACGCTGCCTTAGGGCGCTAAAATAAACTTAAACGTCGTAATTGAAAATGATGTATCTACACGTAATTTGTGCCGTAAGCTCTGCGACCACTTTGTTATGGCGCAAGCGGGCGTGAGGCATGCAATTTCGTATTCTAATCCCAACACTAACCAATTTTGTTTTGGCGAAAGGGCCATCCGCCGTGGGAACCCAAAAAATCCTTTTTCTGTCCCGCGTGGCCACCACTTTGTTGGGTCGCACAATTGCAACATACTAAGTCTTATTATGACTCGTCGCTGCCAGCCAGTTTTGTTGTGGCACCCGACTGCCACCATAAAAATTTAGAATATCCCACCTAATTGCCACAAGTTAAACATCTGTGAATAGCTCCGGCTCCACCAAGTGACTTCACTATTAAGAATACCCCGATATACACTCAACATGAGAAAACAAAAAAAATATAATCAAATCTACAAGTACATACTACATACAACTCTTAAACATATACAATCTCCCATTTCACACTCCTTAACTTCTTAAAATTGACAACTCATAATCTAGTAAACCTACGTAACACAAGCAACAAGCTTCCCACGTTCAGCATGTACCACATCATACTCAAATACCCATACTACCTCAACGAATCAATTATTCTCCACATGGTGTCAACGCAAACAGCAGAATTCTCAGAACCAGAAGAAAGCACCGACAGCGATGGTAATGACGACCGGATATCCTGGAAAGAAGTCAGCAGAAGGGGTAAGAAAAGAATACACCAGAACCAAAAAGTGTCAGAAATGAAAAAAATAACCTGCAAGATACTAACAACCACCCAACTCAGCTAACGATCGCTAATAAATCTGAATCTCTGAGTCACGCAGAGACCGAGGGCAAGAAGCAAGAAACAAAGATACAGCACAACCATCGAAATTTGTCCCAGAAATAAAAAATTGCAGCGACTAACAGCTACAATTGAACTGGTAGTCAACAGATCAAACTGTACTTTAAAAATAATCAACAACGGCACAATAAAGATAACAAAGTGGAATGTCTTACTCTAACAGCTCCATTAGTTAAGAGTCTAACTAATGGAGCTGAGCCCATCTTGAGAGCCGCCAATTCTGCAGCTACTCAACAATTTCCCAGCATTTTATTTACCGTGTTCACAAGAGCCCTCCACTGGTCCCTATCTTGAGCCAGATCAATCCAATCCATACCATCCCACCTTGTCTCTCTAAGATCCATTTTAATATTGTTCACCCACCTACGCCTTGGTCTTCCCAGTGGTCCCTTTCCTTCTGGCTTTTTCGCCAATATCCTATATACATTCCTTGTCTCCCTATTCGTGCTACATGCCCTGCCAACCTCATCCTCCTTGACTTGATCATTCTAATTATACTTGGAGAAGCGTACAAGTTATGAAGCTCCTCATTGTGCAGTTTTCTCCAACCCCCTGTCACTTCATCTCTCTTCAGTCCAAATATTCTCCTCAACACCCTGTTCTCAAACACCCTCAGTCTGTCTTCCCCCCTTAATGCCAGAGACTAAGTTTCACACCCATACAGAACCACAGGCAAAATTAAAATTTTGTATATTTTAATTCTTATGTTTTTGGACAGCAGACGATAAGACAAAAGGTTCTGGACCGAATGGTAGTTAGCATTACCCGAGTTCAGTCTCCTCTTAATTTCTTCTTCAATCAGGTTTTGATTTGTTATCTTCGTTCCCAAATATCTGAACTGTGCCACATTCACAAAACATGTGTCCTGTCTAAATGTCATGATTTTGCCCTGCATTTCGGTGACGAGACAGCAACATATAGCAAAGTGGAATAACATAATACCATAATAGACGTACTAAAAGAGGAAAACATTGAGTTTCTCACATACAAATCTCGTCAAGAACATGCGTACAGAGTGGTAATCAGAAATCTACACCACTCAGTGCAGCAGGATTTTGTGAGAGAAGATATTGAACAAATAGGGCACAAAATTAGAAACCTTACATATCGAACCAGCAGCCAACAACAGTGAAAAATACCACACAGAATATTTACGAAATATCAGAGCCCCAGTTGAGCCACTTCACCAAAAGCGAAATAATATACAGCAATGAAAGGGATGCCATGCGTACTTCCTTTACAAGGGGTACTGCGCATATGGACCAAGATATGGGAAATGTGGAAAACCACATTGCACTGAAAAATACACTCTATCAGAGACAAGGCCAGCATCATGCCTACATTGTGGAGAACGACACCGGCTAACTACAGAGTCTGCAAAGTCTATCAGACAATCATAGGAACAAGATTTTCTTCACCCCGACCAACAGCAAGTATTCGTATTATAAATACATCCGGACTAGAGGGTGAAAGCCCTGCAGCACGGCAGGAAACTGAAGGCCGACCGAAAATGACACGCCCAAGAGACCAGAAATAGTATTGAAACGCCATCAATCACAACAAACAACACACACGAACATTCACTATTCAAAATAATGCAAGATTCCTTCACAAGGTTTGAAACAATTTTGTCCAAGCAAGAGGAACAAATGAGGACGCTCATGAATATCCTCACCGCCGCACTTAACAATCTGGTAAAATAATTCACGTATACAACGTACAGGAATGGAATGCAAACACTTGACCCAACGCATAAAAGAAGTGGAAGTATTTCTCAACACCCAGAAAACAGACACCCTACTGGTATTCGAAACCCACTGTGCGGAACGAAACTATGTAAATATCCCAAACTATATCACATAGGCTACCAACCTTCCGGATGGGAGAGCCCATGCAGATTCAGCAATAATCAAAAGAAAAGACATAAAACATTACGAAATTGCCAAATATGAAACGGACCACACTCTGGCAACGAATATAAGCATCGAAGACTGGGATGGAAGTTTTACCATCTCAGCCCCCTCCCACCGCCACACAATTAAAATGAACAATACAATTCCTTCAACGACTCGTTATGACACAGATTTCTGTTTGGAGGTGATTTCAACGCCAAACACCAATAATGGGGTTCCCGCTTAATCAGTCCTAAAGGTCGTGAACTATATAAAACCACGCAAGAAAAACAACTAGAAATAATATCCACAGACAAACCAACTTATTGGCCAACAGATATAAACAAAACTCCAAGACTTTCGCATAACTTCACAGACGTAAGAACCAATATAGTGATCGCATCAGACCACACCCCGGTAATCGTCATCATACCTACGAATATTAAAACTCACCAAAAATCATCAAAACTGCACAATAGCCAGACAAACTGGGAAGAGTTCAGAATTTAAATCGAAGAAAATTTATGACTCAACATCCCCCTCAAAACAGAGAAAGACGTTGAAGGTGCTGTTGCAAAATTCACTAACGTAATAAAGAAGACAGTTTGGAGAGCAACACCAGGCGACAAACGTGAAACTGAATATGCGGAATATCTATGAGAGGTCAAGGACAAAATTAAGGAAAACCAACGTCTTAGAAGAAGATGGTAGTTAAGTCGGCATCCAGAAGATAAACGCGGGTACTACGAAGCGGCTAGAAAATTTAAAGGCAAAATAAAAAGGATCAAAGAAGAAATATTTCAGGCACAATTTCAAACATTAACAACGACAGCTGACACCGACTATTCACCCAGGAAAGCAATAGAACGATTGCGCCATAGCTCAAGCGGTTAGTCGCTGGCTTCCCACCGCGGCGGCTCGGGTTCGATCCCGGATCTGGTCAACTGGGATTTGTGGTGGACAAAGTGGCACTAGGGCGGGTTTTCTCCGAGTACTTCGGTTTCCCCTGCCAATCTTCATTCCACCAAATTCTCCATCATCATATTTACCCTGGGCAGGTACAATAGGTCAAGCAGTGGCCGCCGTGCCGAGAGAACCCAGTTGGACTCCCCCCCCCCCCCCAAACTACACGTATTAAAAACAAAACAAAACAATTAAAATAACTGACACAACGCATCTCAGCAATCAGAAACGCAGACAAAGCCTGGGAACGACGTGATAGAGAAAGCGAACACTTTTGCAGGACACTTAGCAAAGACATTCAGACCAAATGAACTGCCACAAAAGGAAGACCTCGAAATAGAAATCAACAAAGCGCTGGATGAACCGCTGCAAATAACAACCAATAAAACTCCTCACACTAAGAAAATCCAAAACGTAATGAAAACGATCTAAACCCAAGAAAAACTACCGGATATGACCTAATTACAGGAAGAATGCTGAAAGAAATGCCACAAAAAGGCATTGTCCATCTAACAACTATATGCAACTCAATTCTTAAGACGGAATGCTTTCCAGTTCAGTGGAAAGTCGCAAATATTATAATGATCACAAAACCTGGAAAACCGCCAGAAGAAGCAAGCTCATATAGACCTATCAGGTTACAACCAATAATGAGAAAATCTTCGACAAAACAATTTCAAGAGATTACGCCCGATACTGGAAGGAAACAGAATTCTGTCGGATCATAAGTGTGGATTTTGACAGAAACACTCTACCATAGAAGAAATACACCGAATTACAGATAAAATAAGAGGAACTTCAGAAAAAACACAGTACTGATCTGCAGTGTTCCTAGACATCTCACAAGAACTTAATAAAATATGGCACCCAGGCCTCTTGTTCAAAATCAGAGAAATCCTTCCCTATACATATTACAGAATATTATAATCACATCTAACTGAGAGCTCTTTCAAATGAAATTCAACGACGAAATCACAAACTTAAGGAAAACAGAAGCAGGTGTACGGCAAGGAAGTGTCTTTGTATCTGTCCTGTATCCTATCTCCACAAGCGAACACCCGACATCAGACAACACAACAACAGCTAGTACCTTCACCGATGTTACTGCAATCTTAGCAACACATGAAGGTCCAGCGATAGCCTCAATGAACTCGATGATTAGGCGAAGAAGTGGAGAATTAAAATAAATCGAAGCAAATCTACGCATATTACATTCACCCTACGCAATCAAACCTGTCCGACAGTGCAAATGGACCATGTTGAACAACCCCAGAAATAAGTGAAATGTCTGGGCATACATCTCGATAGAAACCTGAGTTGGGCAAAGCACATCAAAACCAAAAGAAAACACTCAACTAAAAAGCGAAACAAATGCACTGGCTGCTCGGAAGATCAACACCACCAATATAAAGCAACAGCTCCTACCCAAAGCAGTTCTCAAACCCATATGCACTTACGGAATTCATTTCAGCTATGGGGAACAGCCCCTAAGTCCAAAATCGAAATCCCCCAGCGCTTTAAATCAGAGACTCTCCGATCCATTCTGAACACACCTTGGTACATAAAGAATCATGGGATCCATGAAGGTCTACAAATGAACACAGTACTCAGTGAATTAAAAATGTGGAATAAAAAATACTTAAGAAAATTACGAAACAACGCTACTGCTCTAGCAGTAAACAATATCGAAACTACACATAGACTGAAAAGATGCACCCAATACAAGCATTCAAATGATACCTAATTGAAAACAAAAACGAGCATGAGTTACGCCACTGGGCACAATTCATTCACGAGTTAGTCCTTTTTGAACATATATATTTATAGCAGACTCTGCGGATTATTGATATGTTGGGTTTTTGGACTTTATCCATCGTCCTGGTTTTTAAGATAACAAATAAAAACACGACGTTTCGGAAACTGGATCTGTTTCCGTCCTCAGGTGAAGGAAAAGGGAAACACCTATTCTGTTGGGTCCGTTAGAAAGAGCTAGCCTCAATCACTGGTCCAGTGGTCCCTTTTCCTTCACCTGAGGACGGAAACAGATCCAGTTTCCGAAACGTCGTGTTTTTATTTGTTATCTTAAAAACCAGGACGATGGATAAAGTCCAAAAACCCAACATATCAGTGTGTTATACACCATCGTCAGAATCCTATAGTAACTATCTGCGGATTATGTATAATAAATATGTGAAATATATAATATATAAATGATGATCTCGTGCGTGTTCTTATGGAGATTTTTAACCGAATATAACACATTTGTATACTAAGTCCCACTATTAAATACTAGTGCAAATAT